TATTTTTAGTTACTTGAATGAATTTAGTTCAAGCTGAAAATCAAGCATTTGTTCGCAAGACACAAAGATGAATTGAAACCAAAGAATGCATGAAAAGAAGACGCATCATCAATGAGTACATTAAAGAAAATATTTAACTGCCTAACCTATTTCTTCGTAATTCATATCAGTTTATTATCCAACTATGTGTTAGAACTGCAAGCCAGCAAATATATGTATGTATATGCATCATTCAAAATCACAAATGTAACTTGACTTAATTTAGAGTTTGAAAGGCTTAAGCCGACCTTCACATTATATATAATTAATATTCAATTTATACCCCTCTTGATGCAAGAGTAACTTATTTATTCCCTTTTGGGTTGCCTCTCTTGCACCCTCCACCTATCTCCTTAAAGTGCCCCTAATGCATGATTACAGACCACATTGTCATAAACGCGTTTTTCAAWTTTTTTTTCGGTTTCAAACGAATTTCTGATATTTTACGGCACAAAAGTGTTGGCAAAATTCTCGTATCCACACACTATCGAAATTTCAGTACCGCTTCGAGGAGCCTGAAATTTTGTATAGACTTACGTCATCGGGGTGATACACCAATTTTTTGTGGACCAAGAGTGCTGTTTTTAAAAGTTTTAAGAAAGAAAAAATGCCGAAATATTGAGGTTTTACTTATTGTACGAGTGAATCCAATTTGGAAGAATGCGCAAGTCTTTCACTTTTGGAACGTATCACCCCGATGACGTAATCGCACCTGTCCCCCGCACGCGCGGTCCTTATACGAAAAGGCGCGTTTTCAAAACTCATTTAAAAATTAGAAATGCATCCAATTACGAAAAAGTTTTGGATTTTYGCATTTTTATAAATATATCTTCAACTCACATAAGGTCTGTGATTAGGCATTAGCGGCAATTGAAACTCTATGGTGTGAAATAAAAACCTTTTAACAAGTCCTTGAATTGAAGGAAATCAGATAAAAAATGTATTAGATTAACATTATGTTTTCTTGTCTATTATCTTGAAAAATCGTTATCAATAGCTTATTGCGAATAACCATGAGAAAAGAATACTTTTTTACGTTCTGTATCTTATTTGATATATGTACAAATGTATACTACAACCTTTTTGCAATCAACTGTATATACTTATTTCAATAAAGTTAGTCACCAAAAACCTAGAAAGCTGTGATCGCTGAGAATCATGGGAAATGTTTTATATCCAACGAGTAAAGCTTTTGACAAAAACTGCAGCAATTGAGGATGCTCAGAGGAGGTGAGACTGTAACTGGTAGAAGATCTCAAGTCCATCAAAGGTTAAAACATGTATCTAGCCATAATCCTTGTCGGTCTCAGCTTTGTAGCTTTTCTGGTGAGTAACTTGATTGAAATAAGTATATATAATATAGTGAAATAGAAAAAAGTTTGAAAAGAATAAAGAACAAAAAAGTATTCTTCTGTAATGAATATCATATTCAAACAGAAAAAAAAAAAAAAAAAAAAATTTTCAATGTTAGTACACTGTGGCTCTGTGAATAACGCTGTTCTAATAAGTTCTGTTTGAATTATTCATCGTAAAGACTTCTGCCAGTAGAAACAATACAGTAAGAGGCGAAGAAAATCAATTTCAAAAGAAAACGTGAATGCGACCGACGTATGTCAAGACATTACTTATTTTGAATTAATTCTTATATTGAATTTATTCGATTCTTTGTTTCACGACTCTGGTTCTTTCTTTCATGCTAGATTTTTCTGTCTCTCTCTCGTCCGTAGATCACGAGACAGATCCACGAATGTATAGAATCTACTTCTACCAATTAAGCGGAATAAAAACTGTAAAAACACTTTATCAGTTACACATGCATGTATTTATAGATATTCGTATAATAGTTTGTAGTTTTTATTATTTTGTACAGCACAAGCAATTCAGCTCTTTGACGTCTGCAAGRTGATGTTTCTCTATCTATTTATCCATAGAATACCCGCAAAATGTAAAACACCTGCTTTCTAGAAACTATGCCTCGAAATTATTTTCAAGACCAAACTTTTTTGAAATTCAAATTCAAATATAAAAACATTGTCGGTCCGAGATCTAAATTGGGAGGATCTGAGACTAAACTGAGTTTTCGTTGTTTTAAGTTTTTCGGGCTGAAATATTAAATATCACATATCTAACTCAATGGTCATGCTTCATATTCCAGAATTTTTCCAAGAACTTTAAGACAGTCAGATGCAAATACTTTTGCGTTACTAGATTTGGGTTTTTTTGGAAACCAGGTATTAAGAGTTGTGTTGCGGCAGTGCCTTCGCCTCCCTCACCYCTGGATTCTCGATTTCGATTCCTGGACTCAGGAAGGAAGGAAGGAAGGATAGATAAAGAAAAAAGAAAAAAATAAGAAAAAAAGAAAGGAAGAAAGAAGGCAGGAGGAGAAAAAGAAGGGAGGAAAGAACGAACGAACAAAAACTAAGGACAGAATAAATAAAAGTAGAAAAAAGAAACAAGGAAGAAAGGCAGGAAAGAACGAAAGAACGAACGATTGAATACGAAGGATAGAATGAGTAAAAGAAGGATTAAATTTATAGGAAGAGAAAAAAACAAAGAGAAAGAAGCAAAAAGGAAAAAGAAAGGGAAGAAAAATGGATTGTTGAAGTACGCCATCAGGTTCGTGCAAAAAAAAAGAATATAAAAACACTAACCTTTAACAAGCGATGCACCGAACAAACAGGAGATGAGTAGAACCCTGAAGTCCATGTCGTCAGTGACCAACTGACTTTCACCTGTGTAGTTCGTTAATTTATCTCAAATCATTATGTTCAATACTTGATAAACCTTTGAAGTGTAACTGTGCAGAGATTCATTGTCATTCTTCGCGCAGAAACGAATAAAACAATGCACGACGTGGGATCAAAGAATTTTTTTTCCAAAGAAAAATTGTTKATAGGTAAACAAGCTACTTGCGATCTTCTTCTAATGTATGAGTCAATTCCAAAGGTTCTCATCCCCCCTCCCCCCCCCCTTCGAGCATTTGACTTTTTGGGAAAAAAATTGGTCAAATTCCCCACCATGCGGGCCAACAAAATGATCAAATGCTCCACCGTTCAGGCTCCACTAAGTGGTCAAATGCCCGCCCCTCCAGTCCGATGAATCTCTATTTTTACCTAAAAAGTATTAAATTGAGCCTTTATACATCCAACAAGTTTCATGCTAAGTACCTTTTGAGATTGTTTTGTTTTATTTTTTATTTTATAATAATCGAGACTTGAAATTTTTGAAAATTTGGAATTAGAGTAAACATATTAATTGTTTTGGACTCCAAAAATTTATCCTCATCTACTCGTTCTATACTGTCATCTACATTGAAAAGTTTTGCTTCTTTTTCTTTTTGATTCCAAGCTTTTCTTTCCCTGTTTTTCAAAGAAGCGACAGTTAAGTATAAGACTGTATTTTGAAACCAAATTTTTGTACAGTGGCGATTCAATTTCAATGAGATCGTAATCAATTCGAAGTTCAACCTTTCTGTTGAAAAGAGTGCGCAAAGTACTAATCCGCCAAAAAAGCTTTTCTAACTTCTCTTGTGCCATCCCAGAATTTTAAACAAAGGTATTTAGATTTTTTTTWAATTCACAGGCGAACCAGAGTCCTCTAAGCAAGATCCAAGCGTCAAATTTTGCAATACGCTAATTTATGAAAATTAGATAAAATTAGATATATTTGAGTCGAGTCAAAAGTCAAATGCCCACCCGTTCGGACATATATTCAGCGTCAAATTCCCCACTCTAATACAGAACTTGACTATGGTCAAATGCCCGGGGTATTCCCGTTGGGGGGTGGGG